CCGGCCCCAGAAAAACCCTTTTGATTTCTCTTCCCAAACCTGTGCCTTCACGTGTTCTTCAATGGCACCACCGTCCACCCAACTGCTGATGCCCCGAACTCAGCCCCACAATAAATTTTAGGGGTGTGTGTGTGTGCGTGTGTGTGTGTGGTGGGTCATGACATCAAGCATATGTGTTAGGTATTATTATGTATGTATGTGTTATTATTGTGCATCGAGGTGAAAAGCTTTGGAAGCCCACACCGTGAGATGCTGCCCTGCTTTATTATGGAACCCCACATAGGGCTCCAGGCAATGTGGTCTACGGCTTGGGGACCAGGCCCACCCCAACATTTGCAGGACCTGGGGCAGGAGTACAAATGAAGGCCCTGATATCATATGTCTAAATATTTTTAAATTATAAATCAAACTAATAAATTGTTGAATAAAATATGCTTTATTCCTCTATCCTGACAAATGCACACACTCCTTGGATGTCCACTCTAATACATGGCCACACAGGGAAAATGGCTCTAAGTTTCCTGCCCCCAGTCTCTGCCTGTCTCTCTTCTCTTTTCATCCCTGGCTCCTGCCCACGCAAGGGTCCTGGTGTGTACACAGTAGACACCCCAGCTTGCAAGTACTGTCTCTGGCTCCTTCCCAAATAGCCACCTGTGGCCATGTTTTATAGGTCAGGGGTCAGCCTCAAGAAGACCCAGGATAGAAGCTTGCACCATTGTTGAAAGTGAGCCCAGAGTCCATTGGACAAGGAATTCCAGTTCTAGAAGAGGGGGTGTGGGCCTAGGGTGTGTATATCCCCCTAAGTCTGCAAACTCCTTACCCTGTGGGTAAGAGAAGGATGGGGCCCAGGGCAGGGACCCCTGGAGCCCAGCTAGAATGGTGGTACTTCTCAGCACAGACTCAGGGGGTGCAATTCAGGGACCTTCACTCCCTTAGGTCTTCCATTTCCCACCCAACCCCTCCTCAGGCCTAAGTGTAGTTAACCATCCACGGGGCAGGCATATGTCCTACCACCTATCAGTGTCTGACATTTCAATAAAACTCCACTCCTTTGGGCTTTGAGGACTTTTTAGTCTTCGACTCAACAAATGTTTGAGTTTCTTCCACTCTCAAGACACCACAAAGAAAGCAAATATTAATAAGAAATCATTTTGACCCTCATTGAATAAACCAGGTTAAGATGGACACACATGGAGCCACCCCACAAGGCAGATTGTGATCAGCTACTGGGGCTCGGAGAGGGGGCTCCAGAAAGTCTACAAGAAGGAGGCGAAGTTTGAGATGCACTTTGAAGAATCTGTAAGAGGTGAAGGTGGGAGGAAGGATGTTCCCGGTAGGGACCAAGGGCATGGTGGCAGGAGTGTGTGGCCTGTGTTCACAGGGGAGTCGTCCTGGCTGGAGGTTAGGAAAGTTCCAGGGAGTGTGGTAGGCTCAGAGTGTAAAGGGGAGTGCAGGGAGGAGTGTGTATTGAATTCAGTAGGCAGTGGGAGCCATTGAAGGTTTTTGGGAAGGGCAGTCCTTTGATTAGAGTTAGGCTTTAGGAAGATAAACCTGGAGCTGCATGCAGGCTGAGGTAGAGGAAGTGGGAAAGCGAGTTAAGAGATGATTGTGTGATCTTTTCCTTTCCATTTCTTCTGTTACCTCCCTAGTAGAGACTGACACTGCTTCTCATCCCAGTTAATGTGGATCTAGAAACTACACGAATTGGCCATTGATTGGATCAAGGTCTGGGTGAAAATAAATAGGAAGAGGTGGTAAAAAGCCATTCTAGCATTTTGTGGCTGATGTCAGAGATACTTCAGACAGATGAAATAGCTGGTTTGGATGGTGACCAACGGGGAGTTTGAGGTAGGGTGTTAGGCAGGTTGTGTTTCAGATCTTGGTGGCATATGGAAGTGGGGATGCCCAGGAGACACTTGGAAATTGAGATATGGGATTCAGGAATCAGTGTAGGGCTACTGAATGGATTAAGGAGTTTTCATTTAGAGTTGAAAGTTGGAAATTCAGGATTGAAAAAGATCTAAGGAAAGAGAATGTAGCGGTAAGAAGAAAGAACTATGGTGGCACCTGCTTCAAGGTCCCATGTTAATAGGCAAATGTGTCTGGGAGAGGTGACACCTTCATCCCTTAAGATTCCACACCCGCCTTAAACAGGAGAGTGTCTGGAGTGGAGAGAGGGACGTTAGCAGGGACATGGAGGGCGTCCGATGCCTCTCGGGGCCTCCATCCTTGCCCTGCGCTAGGTATTGGTACACGACTGAATCCTTCCAGAAACGTCAGAGCTGGAGGTGCCAGGCAACTCCCCTCCCTGTGGCCAGTTCAAACCTCACTAGAAGCCTGAAGTGTTTCCCCATAGTACTCACGTGGCAGGAAGTAAAGTGACCAAAGCCAGAGGCCCATGATTCCTTCCAGAGCAAGGTCCCATCCAAGAGCCCCTGGAAGAGGGAGACAGAGACCTGCTACTCGCCCAGGAATCCTTCACAATCCGGAGCTTGAATGAGATTGTTTGCCCCCACGAGGAACGAGGCTTGAAAATGAGGAAATGACAACCTGGTGTGTTTGCTAACTCGCCTTAAGCTAAAACAGAATACGGGCAAACCACAGCGGAAGTCAGGAGTTGAGAAAACATGTTGTGTTAAGTGAGAACGGGTCACCCGGTTCAAAGCGCCTCTAGGAAGTTCCTCAAGACTCTTAGCATCTACCAGGCCTGATCTTTCTTGGCCTTGGCACTTTTTTCTCAGAGGGGCCTCCCTCGCTGTATGTTAATATATATGTGTTATTACCGGCTCCCCATCGCTTTCCCCACCTGAGAAAGGCTGTGGACAGAAGCTTGGCCCTGAAGTCAGAAGATACTGGGTGGAATCCTTACCAGTCACCAGTGAACTCATATTTACAAATATTTTAAGCACCCACTCTATGGGGATACTATATTTTCAGCAATTTACTACTTTTCTCTTTTCTCTGAGCTTTGATTTCTTTATCTAGAAAATAAAGGAAGGTGGGAGTAGCTGATCCCTGGCCTCCCTCCTGCAGAACATGGCTCCTCATCCCTCGTCTCCCCAGCGTCTCCGTAAGGGGCTGCTCAGTGACCACAGGGGCAGTGCCAGGAGTGGGTATGGCAGGTCACACGGCAGCTCTGCCTGAAGTCACAGCAGCCAGGCAGTGCCAGGCCTCAGGACCCTGAGGGGCCGAGGGTGGGGCTCACTGCCTGGTGAAGGGAGAGATGTTGGGGCCACAAGGTGTCATGGAAAGAGCTTTGGATTCAAGTCAGGGTGCCTGAGTTCTTGTCCTGGCTTGGCACTTGCCAGCTTTGGGCAAGCTCCCCTGGCCTCTGTTTTCTCATCAGCGAACTAGGGACGGCCCCTGCCCTGCTGGCCTCGCCTGGCTCTCATGAGGCCCAGCAGAAACCACATGCGTGGGGGTGCTAAAGAGTCTGCAATGTGGAGACCTACAGGTTGTGGCTTAGCGGAGGATGTTTCCTCCCTGGGCCTTGGTTCCCAGGGCCCCTTCCCCAGGTGCCGCAGCCTCTGGTGCCCGTGGAGGGGTCCGGCTACTCCCACGCTGTTTCTGGGAGGCTCTTGCTAAGGGCACGTCCGGGCTCCTCCGTGGCTGCACCACTCCCCGCTCGCCCCCACACGCCAGGTTTGTCACGTGCTCTCCAAAACACGAAACAGCAACATCCGGGGTGGAAGTCGAGTGTGAGGCGCGGAGCAGGTGCAGAGGAAGCGTGCGTGGGGGCAGGCAGCCTGCCCTGTCCCCTCCCTATCCGGGTCTCCAGTGGCCCCGAGCAGCTGTGGTTGTGGCGTCTTATGTCGGAGGGCAGTCTCGGGACTCTGTGGTTAGAGTGACTGACCGCCAGAGGGGTCAGCTGGGATCAGCTTCAGCCTTCCCTGCTTAGAGGGCTCTTCCTGATGCCCTACAGCTGTCGCACGGCTGGGCTCTGACATTCGCTAGGCTCCAGGCCTGGGACTGCCTTGGAGAGAGGGGGTGGAGAGAGAGAGAGAGAATAGAAAGGAATGAATGTGTTCTGTGACATGTGTGTGACTGGGCGTGAGAGTGTGTGGGTGTGAACGTATGTGTGAATTATGGGTGTGTGATGTGTGACCGTGTGGCGTGTGACCTGGGAGAGTGTGGACGCGTGCACGTGTCTTTGGAGATCAGGGCCTGGCCGTGCCGAGGCTGGGGCCTGCCAGGCAGTGCAGAAGGTGTGCGGGATGGCAGCGGGCAGGAGAGCGTTCCGTGAAACGTGCAGCCCAAACGCAACCCTTAGACACATTCCACTGGGTTGTTAAGAGCAGGAATTAGAAGTCTGAGGACCGTTGGTGGGAGGTGAATGTTTGGAGTTGGAGGGGATCAGAACTTCCAGACCTGAGTCTGTCCAGTGTCTACCTTCCAATGTCACCCCCCGGATCACAGGGGTTGAGGCCCAAGGGAAGATGGACCCCTGGCAAAATTGTGAAATTTACCATCCTTGTTCTCTTTTTTTCCTGTCTAAACTTGATTTCTCCTTTCAGACGCACAGGGCTGCCTTAGTGCCCTGGCACGCCTGCTCCCAGGAGAATGTCCGATAGGCTGGAGCACGCCAAGGGGCGGGGGACTCAATGGCCTAACACCATCCGGCAGCCAGAAGGGGTGGACTCAATGGGAAAAATTCAGAGCTCAATGACAGGCAGGCGGAGGGAATAAGTAATTCCAGATACACCGGGAGGTGTTCTAAATCCTTTAGGTGTCTTCATTCACTCTCTTAACTTAGGCTCTATTATCCTCCCGAGTTACAGATGGCTAAGAAGAGTGTTTCTCATAAGGCTATCGTGAGAGTCACATGGGTCAGCATCACGAGGGGCTTAGCATGCAGCCTGGAACGCAGTCAGAGCGCAGTGGGGATCAGCCGTCGTCACCGGGATGGAGGTTGTCACTATGCCTTCTGTTAGGTTATTGCATTACTCTATGTCGGCCTACATGCAGTCCAGCCCAAAGGGTCCCCTCCTGGGCCTTTCCAAACCGAGGCCCTGCATCCCCAGGTGGTCCTCCCCGTGACACAACGCTACTCTCTGCAGTGACAGACCATGAGGATCCCCTTTCCTGGTGACTCACCAGGAACCCACCCTCCCCTCCAGGTAGAGCACCTGGCTCAGGCATCCTGCAGTTTCCTCCTTCCGGACCTCAGACCACAGGCTTGCGCGTCCCAGGATGAGCCACTCCGGAGCAGCAGGGCCTTAGAGGCATTAACCTTTACGATAAGCCTGCTTATGATTTTCTTCTCCAAGAAATGGCAGAACTTTGAGGACTAAGATTTCTTTCCTGAATGTGGCCATATTCCTGTTAGTGTTCTAAGGTTAAAACCCCAAATATGTGGGAATTTTGGATGAACTTTAATGTGATTTATTAGCAAAAACCTGGGCTTTAAAATAGTCATGTCCCTATATCTAGGATGAAGATTTTTGACTCTAGGGAGAGTGGATTGGCCACCTCCCCTCCCTTTTTTTAATCAGTCTTGGAAGAGAAGCTCTAGAACTCCTTGGCTCATATGACTAGATGATCTGTTCATGTCTGCTTAGCTCCAAGGCCGGCTGGGGGCCACTGGTCCCAGTCTTACATCTTCTTTCTCCAATTGCCCACTGTTCACTAAGATATGTAGCCTCTCTGCGATGATCTCTTATTATTTTTATTGCACAAACTCTCTAGTAGAGTTAATCATTTTAGGGAGGTGGGGTGGGGTGGAAAATTCAACTTGTTTCTCTGCCTTGGGGACCAGCTTCATAGACCAAAGCATGGTCAGTTCCTCTCTCTGCTGTTTAATAGTCTTAGGAGTCTTTGGAAAAGTCTTGAACAAATTAGAGATCCTTTTTTAAGCTTTATAAAATAAAACCAATTGCTATAAACATATTCCTAACCACAGTTGGGCCTTATTCATCTATGGTCATATCGTTACATAATGGGTTTTTAAAGAGGAAAAAAAAAATAGAGATAATTTAAGAACTTGGGGAAGATTTCCTTGTCATCAAATGTTTAAGGAGTTCCCTGAGTGCTTGCTGGCCACTGAGCATTTATTTGCTTATCATCGCCAATACTGCAGTTGCTTGTTACGTCCCTGTACTGGGTGAATTGCGTCCCCCTGAAATTCATGTCCATCTGGAACCTGTGGACGAGCTTCCTTCTTTTTTTTTTTTTTTGAGACAGAGTCTCACTGTGTTGCCCCGGCTAGAGTGCCGTGGTGTCAGCCTAGCTCACAGCAACCTCAAACTCCTGGGCTCAAGCGATCCTCCTGCCTCAGTCTCCCGAGTAGCTGGGACTACAGGCATGCGCCACCATGCCCGGCTAATTTTTTCTATATATTTTTAGTTGTCCAATTAATTTCTTTCTATTTTTAGTAGAGACGGGGTCTCGCTCTTGCTCAGGCTGGTCTCGAACTCCTGAGCTCAAACAATCTGCCCGCCTCGGCCTCCCAGAGAGCTAGGATTACAGGAGGAGCTTCCTTCTTTAAAAGGGATTCTTACTGCATAAGGAGCAGGTGGACTTTGGGCAGTACGTTATTATACTTCCTTATATCTGTTAGGAATAATGTAAGATTGCCTGTGCCGTTAGTGACATCTCTTGGCTGTTGATTCTAGGGACTGGGATAGGCTACAGGAGCTCAGGATTGGCTTGCTGGTCATTGGCATTCATACGGAAGTTGCATCTTAATCCTCTACCACAGGCGCGGCCCTTTGATAGGTCAGAGAGCAGCTTCCTGGGGGGTAAAACAATGGTAGATTCTGACACACCTTGTAATTTTGCTTCTCCTGGAATGATTTGCTGTCATTCCAAGAGAAGCTAGACACACATTCCCATCACAGAGAAGAGAGAAATAAACATTCCTGATGACCGTCACTCCTGGCTGGGGAGGAGCTCAGGCTCTGCCCATGTCGCGCCTGGGAATTGGGACGGGGCACTGCAGTTGGTGGGCTGGAGGGGACACCAGAGGAGGACTGGAGTCTGAGTCCTGGGCAGGGGCAGGCTTGGGAAGCACATGGCAACCAAGGTGTTATGTTCAAGGCCCGGGTAGAGCGACGGTTCACACGGGCAGGTTGGCAGCCTGGGGAGACCTTGCTCCCAGAGAGAGCTCTCCACACACAGGCCCTGAGGAGGAGATTCGAAATGAGATGGGGGAGCAAGCTGCCAGTGGGCAGTCTAGACATTCCTCATAGGATGTGACAGGGTTTAGTGCCAGAACCTAGGAAGGATCTCAATAGACAAGGGGACCCTTTATCTAATCGCTGTCCACAAAAGAGACTTTGGATTCAGCCAGTCTAAAACCTAAGTTATCATTTAACTAGCTTAGAGTTGGTAATCTTGTAGAAAGAGTTTATTCATTTGGTTACCTCCGTTTTGATTAGTGGCCTGTTGATCTTGGAGGGTAC